CCATCGCCCCCGCCCGAAGCCTCCATGTCGCCATCGGATCCACTCGCCGGAGTTGGGGAGGTTGCTCGGATCCGCGATGGGGAGCGGGGAGGAGCTGGATGAGGTCATCGGGCATCGGGGAGAGAGAGTTGCCGCCACCGCCGTCGGAGGGAGGGAGGAGCCGCAGCGGTGCTGGCGCGGTGGGCGTGGCTTGGGGACAAAGGGAGCAGCGTGGGGAGAGAGGGAGCGTGTGGGGAAGGGCGCTGCCTGAAGCCACGGTCGTTTTCACTCTTACAGGAAATGTGATTATTATTAGGCATGAATTTAAATTCTAACCAAACCACAAAACTAAACATTTGACCTCCCACGACTATGAAAACCATATAAAAATTATTAAAACCATATAAAAAAACTATCAAAACCATATAAATAACCACCTTGTCCTTTACTAAAAGTGATTTTAAGGGCTTGTTTGGTTCAAGCCCTGGACAAGTTTGCCTGGTCTGGACCTTGCCTACATCTTGCCTCGTGTACGTTTGGTTGGTGCCCTGTTGCTTGTACCAGGCAAGTGTGTCGATGTCCAGGCGAGTGAAATCGAGCGAGCGCCCAGCTCGAGCGCCGGTACTTGCCTGGGCCAATTGCTCTGATTAGTAGATTGATGGGCGGAAAAGGAGGAAAAGGACACGTAACTCCTGTTAGATTTATTTTTGTCTATGTCGTCTTTATTGTTTCTTTTGTCTGGTTCCTACGACTCTCAAATAAAACTGCATGGCCTTTTTCTTATCATGGTGGTTAGTTGCTTGATATCCGTGAACGAATCTATTCCCTCCATCCCAAATTGTAAGACGTTTGACTTTTTTGCTCCAAGTTTGACCACTCATCTTATTCAAAAAATTTGTACAAATATAGTTAAATTTAAGTCATTCTTGAAGAATTTTTATTAATAAACCAAACCACGACGAAAGAAGTGATATTTTACACAAAATTTTGAATAAGACAAGTGGTCAAACTTGGTGTCAAAAAAGTCAAACGTCTTACAATTTGGGATGGATTGAGTATTAATCATGAGGCAAAACTTATTTTTATTAACAAATACTTTCTTCCGGTTACTTATTAGTTATTACTGAAGTAGTCTCTAGAACACATGTAGGGAAAATAACACTAATCTAGATCATCTATTTATTTGAGTCAAACTATAAAAGTATATGTTTATCATACACCAGAATTACACCTTGATATTATACATATTCCGTGATAGTGTTTTGAGGCACAAACCTGCAACCAAACGGATATTCTCTAGACTTGCATCCGCAAGAAAAAATCATCAACTTTTCAGACAACTTTTAGGCAACATTATTTTCCAAGCAAGTCACCCAGACCTCTAACCAAACAGCCCATAAGATAGCAATAGTTTTGCCACGAGAGTCATGATGACATAGCAACGGCTCAGCAAGCAAATAGTGGAAAAAGGGAAAAAATAGTGGGATCTACGTGTCAGTCTCACTCTTCCTTTCTTCACTAACTCCTCTTTCCTTCCTCTTTCTCCATCAACGCTCCTTGCACCCAAAGTAAGCACGCGTTTCCACATCACCCTACTCCCCAACATCAGTTCCATCAAACACGTTAGTCATCCTTGCGTACGTGCTCTGCCACGGCCACGAAATGGCATTGAAGGCCCAACCGAGCTCCACCTCTTCTAGCCTAAAAAGGAATGCCAACCGATCCTCCTCCGCCACACCAAGCCACCGAACCATTCTGCTCTATGTCCATGCACAGAAGATAGTTGCACTCATCGACCTCCTCCGATGTCCGACTACTGTAGTTCAATTCGATTGATGATGGGAACCTCCATACCACCCTCCACTTTCCCTAGGCCATGCCCTTTCCTTCTTGTGTTTGCATCGAGCCACTCAAGAGGTTCTTCAACTCTCTCACCCATGTTGGGAATCCCCAAAATAAAATTCCATCATCATCATGTCACTACCGATGCTCAGTTGGAAAAACCAGGCATAAAACCAGGCATCGAGGAAGTATAGGCATCGGTTCTCATCCGTATACAATCTACTGCCTCCGTACCTAAAAGAATGTAATTCTAGCATAATGCCACATTTTAGCTCGTTAAGTTTGACCAATTATATTATAAATAAAAAAGTATTCATATTTATGATACCAAATAAATACCATCGGATTAACTACAAAATGTATTTTTATAATAAATTAATTTAAAGACATAATTGTGAATATTATTCACTAAAACTTGATCAAATATGAACCACTTTTCGTGGCACGTAACTCATAGTTACATTCTTTTTAGGACAGATGTAGTATATAATATTATTTCACGGAGATAGAACACTAGAACGCGAGGCTGAGATATTAGGGCGTCCACAGTGGTGCCGTCGATTTCGACAGCTGACATGGACATGACCAACTGTGGTCCTAAACGTTAGAATTAATTAATCAAAGCATCTTTCTCCACGAGCGGCGCTTCCGGTTGGCCATCGTAGTAAAAAAGTTACAAGCGCCGTTGGAGTATTGGCTTCCACCGGCAACGCGCTAGCACCGAAGGAATAGATAGCTATTCACTTTTTGCCTATTCTCTCCCGAATCTATTCAGCCAGCGACGTCGCTGACCACCGGGGACGCCCTTAGATCCCGTTGTTGTATTTTATTCATAGAAAGGTTTTCGTGTTGCCCTGGCCATCGACGCCGAACTTTTTTTAACACACGGGGAGTCTCTCTGATACTATTAAGAAGAAAGGTGAGGCGCCGCGCGGGAGCCAGCGCTCGAACTGCGGGCGAGCAGCCTAGCCCTGCTCAGCTGACCAACCGAGCCCCGCTCGGTTCTCACTGATGCCGAACTTTGCCAACGGAAACCGATCCAAGCATCAAGAATACATGCAGTTGAAATGACGTTTTAGGTGCTCTTACGTAGCCTCTAGGGGCGTGTTTGGGAGGGTGGCTGAGGCCAGCTTGGACCGCCCGCCTGGCCCAGACCAGTGTAGGCCTACCCCAAGTGGTGCACCAGCTCTTGTTTGGCATCCAGTGTGAAACGGGCCAGACCCACTTGAGATTGTATTTGTTTGCACATATGCAGTCAGGCTGAGCAGCTAACTAACTCAAACTACCAAATCAAGATTGTGTTTGATTGTTGGCTGCCTCGGCCAGGCCCATAGTCAGGCTGCACAAATGCAGTTATAGCAATGGAATGAGCAAGAGTTGGAGATCCATTACAACAGTTTTGAACAAGTAAACCATACAATTAGTGCTGTTAACAACACTAGGCCTCAGACAAATTAATAGTTGATCAATCCATAGCATAGCTGGCTACACGGTACAATTAAAGAAGTAAGCAAGAAAGAACAGGTCCATTTGCAGCATAGTTAGCCACCAAAGACAAGTTTGTGAAGCCCAGGACAGGTAGATCACAGAAATGGATTACACAAACAAAAAGCACATGTAGCCAGCTAATGCACCCATCCATTTTGTCATCATCAGCCTAATTCCCACAGTTACAAAAATACCAATGAAGCAAGGCAAAATAACAACATCAACAGCCTAATCAGTAAGCAACAGACCTTGAACAACACATAGGAGATATAAAACAGAAATGGATGACAGAAAATAGTAAGACACAGCAGCAGCTAATCCATCATGCACCCATCATAGGCCTAAGTGCGGCGGTCGTAGCAGCCAGTATTGCCCCCCTTCATCCATATTCCAAACACCAAGATAACAAGTGAGGTGATTAACACATTCTTCCACCAACCAGCCTTACCATTAGAAGGAGGAATGATTGGAGCAAAAACATCATGAGGGATAGGATCATAGGGGAGCGGAGGTGCTGCTCCATGAGATGGATGGATATCTCTCATGGCTGCCTGAAAATCTCTAACAACCTACTCATAGTTGCTATACTTCTTGTATATAGCATTTCTCAACACAAGAACATGCTTACCACACTCATGCCAACTCAGGTAAATCCCAGGAGCCTTCCCATTGAAAACAACATAGTACCCTACCATTTCTGTGAAATGAAACAGTGGTTTAGCCTTAGTCAAATGTAAAGCATGAAACTTGCCATGAGTGTGGAACTTGAAGATCTATGGTTTGCGGTGAAACAAAACGTTGATCTTAAGTCCTCCACTGATGACCAGCATCATCAAGTTTATATGTAAGAGAATTGACATCACAGGCATTGTAATAAAAGGTTGGCCTCAGCTTTACAATGTGGTGGTGTTCTTTCAGTTCAAATCATTGGTGGCTGCCATAGAAAATAAAAACCAGTAGTGCAGCAAATCCAAGCTCATGGCTGCCATGGAATCCATGTGCACATCCATACACTGCCATCAGCACAAGGAAGAAGGGTCTGTTGCTAGGGTATGGATGTGTCACATGGATTTGATGACATACATGACAAATCAGAATAATCAAGTAAATAGGGCAGACACCAAACAAGTGCAAATCCAGGGTCATGACTGCCATCGAACCCTATTGTGCACATCCATTCACTGCCATTAGCATAAGATACAAGTTGCTGTTGATAAGTGAATGGATGGGCACACATAGGGTTCCATGGCAGTAATGAAAAACATGAAGAACCAATTAAACAAGGCAACCACCTCATGAATATGTTGTTTGCATCATAGGCCTTATAGATTTCCCACAGTTACCACCAATCAAAAGAAACAAAACCAACAGGTCATAAGTAAGAGAATAAGGAACAACTGATCTCAAATAAAGTAGCCAACATAGGCTATAAATAGTGCCTCACAACATAATTGTTCTGCCCAACACTTCAGGGCTCAAATGCCTATCATGGTGCCCTCTAGCACATATAGTTAGCCACCCTCCTAAGAAAGAACCCCAAAGGACAGGTGTGGGTCAGCCAAGTAACCTGTACAAAATACCTACAGCTCAACTGTAGTCAAAAGAAGAGAGAGTGGGTGAGGAAGGTGAAGGAACTATACATATCAACAGTCAACCCCCTCAATGCACATGGTTACCAACATGTGCAGGAACTACATGTAGTAGTTCTTAGCTAGGTAGTTCCTGAGCCAAATGTCCCTATGGCTGTCACTCATGCCAACAAAGCCCCTGCCTTGGCCCTTGTTGTCCAGCAGGTAGGTGTAGGCCACTATCAGTGCCTCCTCAGTAAAACCAAGCATCTCCATCACAGCAAGGTAGAGGTCAGCATCAACATGGGCTGGTCTAGTCTCCCTAAGAGCATTGGCAACATTGTTCACAGCATCAGACATGTTGGTTAACATAAGCATCTCATCCTCACTAAAGGCGCCTCTCTTCCTCTTTGCACCCACAGCTAAGGAGAGGAGCTTTGTGGCCTTGTTGCTGCATCCTACATCAGTGTGGATCTTCTTAGCAGGAACATGGGTAGAGGAAGGACCCTCTAGCTTAGCAGCAACACTCTCAGCCTGGTTGGCCCCTAGGGCTTCACCAGAAGCAAGTGCAAACCTACCAGTGGCCATAGCATGGCCAAAGATGGACTCCATCTCAGTGTAGAACCTTATAGGGCAGTTTAGAATCTCTACGTCTTTAGGATGATCCTGCAGTAAGGGGGAGGGAGGGGAAGGGTATAGTTTTAGACAAGGAATGGAAAGACAGGTACAAAGACACAGGAAAGAAAACAAAGTTCTACCTTGCAGTGGCCAAGGTAATGCTCCTGCTCAAGCATGATAGCATTGGTGTCACTATCCCAAAGTGTCGCACTTAGGTCCTTGAGCTTACATACCCGAGACCACTTCTGCCTCCACTTCCTCAGGTGGGTGTACACCTAAGTTTGGCTCACTGCCTCCCCATTGTACTCCTTAAGGGCTTTGGCAACATGGTTAACATCTTTATTCTTGAAGACTTTGTTAGGTCTACTACCATCACTAACAAGCTATGCCATCCTCCTAAGGACAAAGCCAGAGGTGTTGCTGTTCCACCTCATGGCCCTAGGACCCCCTGCAGCAGCACCAACTGCTACAATGGCAGCACCAGCACCAGTAGCAACAGTAGCACCAATACCAGCTACTGCTACTGCACCAGCACCAGCTGCAACAGCAGCAGCAATAGCACCTCCCAGCAGCCCATTTGCTACATCAGAAGCAGCCACAAACCCACCCTAGGCACCAAGCAGATCAACTAGGAGTGGAGCCATCCTATTTGGTATTGCAATTTCAAAGTAAGTAGGAGAATAACATCATAATCAAGAATACACATAAGCTTTGGCCATGGGACACAGCCATACAATAGGAGCATCATAATTGATCTATGCTGCTACCACTGTATGGCTGAGTTTCATGGCCAAAGACCATGAACCAGTGATAGATGATGAAAAACAACATGAACCAAACAATAAACACTTGAGTAGGAAAGAAATTTGTTCTCTGCCTTGTCCAACAAATTATTACATAAACATCACACAAACATGAGTTCCATAACAGGGTAAACAAAGTGAATTTAATAATAAAGTTACTACATGATCAGATCCTAGAGGTACCCCTCCCTTCCCACATAGCATTACAGATGGCATCCCTTCTAAGTGCCATGGCATTGGAGTCTTGGGACTGGCTGTCATTATTGGGCAGATTCTCAAGTGGGTCAGGTTGGCTGCCAGTGAAACCCTCCTCTGGTGGCACAACTTGGTCAATACCAAAACCTAGGATCTAATTGTGCAAAATACAACAGGACAATACAAGCTTCACCTGAGACTTGTATGGGTAAACAGGCTTGTTATCTAGGATACGAAACCTGTTCTTCAGTGCACCAAAAGCCCTCTCCATAGTGAACCTTAGTGATGAGTGCCTTAGGTTGAAAAGCTCCCTTGCATTGGTTGGGTGGTTTCTGCTCCCAAACTCAGTCAAGTGGTACCTGCCTACAGCCACTATGGCATGCATAGCCAGCATCTACCAGGTAGAATTTACCTACAATTGGACAACTACTGTGAGTGTGTGTGCCAATCTTAAGGACATAAGTGCATTGACTAGGTAGTGCAGTTATCTTCAGGTATAGTGAACACATCATTCCTCTCAATGGCATCAGCTAGGATAAGTGCATCATGGGCAGAGCCCTCCCAGCTAGCAAGGACATATGTGAACTTGATATCAAAGTCTACAGCAGCCATGACATTTTGTGTAGGGTTGTGTTTCCTACCCCTGAAAGCAGCCTGCATGTGTCTAGGCACCCTTGCCAACACATGGGTGCCATCAATGGCACCAATGCAGTCATAAAAACCTTGGAAGTGAGATAACAGTACATGTGAATATGCATATCTACCTAATGAAGGAACATGTGATTCACAATTACCTTCAAGAATGGATTCCATCTATGGCTTTCAAGTACCTTTGGGTGAATGGCAGTGCTAGGAGGCTTGATCAACTCATTCCTAAGCTCACCAACAGCATACAAAACCTGGTGGAAGTGTTTGTGCACTGTCTCAATGGACCTCCTAAAAGACTGGTGGACAACTCTAAATCTTTGGTTGTGACCAACCACATGGAGGAACATTGCAACCTGCTCCTCTACTGTGACCCCCTCTCTATCAGAAACTAGGCTCCTAGCTCTAAACAGATTGCATAAAGCAAAAAAAAGGTGCTCTGGTCATCCTAAGCATGGATAGGCACTCTCCATCATTGGAGTTATAGATCAGGTTATGGGTCTACTGCTTGTGCTGGTCAGCTTCATCCCTAAGTGCATGCAGCAGAGGGTCAGGTTCACTATCAACCCTTTTCCTTTTAAGCCTGCTGGTAACAAAGGACACCATGACTACAACCAGGGCAGCTGCTAGTCTACACATCATCTCACAGCTCACAGAGGGATCCATCTACATGCATATAACAATGTAACACAAACTTAGATCATCATACCCTGCCTGGCCTCAACATGATTGTACAATGATTCAATAAGCAAATAAAGCACGGCTGCATTTAGGTACATGCCTCTAGGTGCTCAGGACATCATAGACCATATCATAAAAATACATAAGCAAACCATATGAACAGCACGAAACGCATCAGGTATACAGAGCTTATCAAGGAACAAACAAATCATAGTAGCAAGCAAGAAAGACTGTAAGAACGACCATCACTGAACTATGATAGCAAACCCTAATCCATCGAGGAACAGCAAGTAGTACTCAAATCAGATGAACCAATCATGAACAGCAATTAGGATATGAAAGCCTAACATCATCGCCGTGAAGGAGAGAGGATTGGGGGTCGATTTCACCTCGGGGTCAGCGTCGGCGCAAAGGAGCGGCGCAGTGGGAGGAAGAACAAGACCTGGCGAGGCAGACGAAGCAGATCGGGCCGGAGAGGAAGCAGATCGGGCCGAAAGAAGAGCTTCACCACCACTGCACCCACAGAAGAAAGAGGGAAGAAGACGACCGCCTCCACGGAGTCCCCGCGGTCGACGGAGCGGCGCCGCGTCGTAGCAGATCCAAGGCGGGGGAACGAAGACGAAGCCCGCCAGGGGAGGATGCCGCCGCGACGCACACCAGCTCACCACCAACGCCGGTCTCTCACGTGGCTAGAGGAAGGTGAAGAGCACGGAGAGGAATGAAGAAGCAGCAGCAAGCGCCGCTTATAAAGGCGGAGGGTTTCGCCGGTGGGGAGAGCGCACGCGGAGCTTTCCCTCTTCCCGCGCGAGCCAGCCGTCGCCGCCAAAATCGCTCGCCCTCGCGCCGCTCGAAGCCGCGCCCGGGAGAAACGAACGGAGGGGCCGTTTTGCACCCCGATAGCCGGGCTGCTGAGCGGGCCAAGGCTCCCAAACACGGGAGTTGCAGCCCACCAGCGCAGCCGGGCTCTTGGGCCACGCTCCCAAACGCACCCTAGAATTTCTGTTGCCAGCAAGTTTCTGTTGCCTGCAGTAACTTGTGAGAGCAGGTTTCTACAGAACTTGTGAGAGCAAGTTTCTGTTGCCAGCAGTGTTGTTGTGTCGACAGTCTGTACTCTTGCTAGAAACAGTCTTTATTCTTGCTAGAAATTTGCTAACCATTGCACTACACTGTTCACCTCAATAAGCCTAATCAGTAGAACATTTTTTTTTTGAAAAAAAAAGAGATGAACTCAGGGGACCAAAGGCGGGTAATATTTGGAGCCAACCCGAACAATACATTCAGGATTTAAATCAGATCACAATGCTCTCGAGATGGATGATCCCAATCGATTCCTTCCCATCAAGAGCACAACCTCTCTCCATCAGCGGATGATGCACCAGCACTTATTTAAACTCATAAACAAGAAAACTTACCATTGGATATGACCTGCTATGTTGTCCTGAACAAGAATCAGGCAAGAGGCTAACGTTATCAAGGCATTTCTCATTTGAATAAAAGAACACATTATTTTGCATTTTCTACAACAGAGCAAAAGAAAAGCAACAAGTACATCGAAGTACAGAAAACCAGATGATGCGATCATTAAACAATGGATAAATATATTGTACAGGGCAGATACATGATGGATGTCAGAACTTTACTCCACATAATCAACAGATTTTGCAGGTTACGAAAATGCAGTCAATATGTCTGAAATAGTCTACCACAGCTGGGAAACCAATACTACCCAAATAGGATGAACCACATGAATAAACTAAAGGGATATAGAAAGGATAACTAAGTTTTTAAGATATAGCTATGAGTACCGATATTTACTGCACTGCAAATTCAGCTCAGGTTGCCACCACTGACTGATACCATGAGCGTATTTGAAATCAGATGAAGGGCTCACATTGATGATTATATCAGCAGATGGAAGAAGGTGCAGTGGTTCTGATTCCCATCCTAATGCCTTGAAGAACAGGTCTCCAATGGAATTCTGGGTCGCAAGCTTCTCAATAAATCCAGCACCAAGATCTTCCATGTTCTTCCGGTGCTGGAAGTACCCAATGTACTCTGAACAGATGTGGTCTCCTGGATTAACGAATAGATATGGTGTCCATGATGACAAAATGCTGAAAGATTCTTCAGCAACAGATCTCTGACTGTTACCCTCAGTTTTAGCTTTCATGGCAATAGTTAATCCAGCAGTAATTACACTTCTTGCAATACGAAAACCGTGCTTTACCCTTTCATCCCTGATCCTCTCAATTGGAGCAGCAACAAATGGTGGGTTGAAGAGAAAGCTTTCTAAAAGCACACCCTTCTTAACCATGTTTCTTCCAGTAAGGATGGCCATGCCTGCACCTAGTGAATGGCCTGCTAGCCAAATCGTGGATCCAGGGAAAACTGAGGCAACGTTTTGAACAGCTTGCATTGCAATATTAAATCTCGAGGTCCTATGGAGACCATTTTGAACAAGGTGCAGGTCCAGGGAAAGATCCCTAGAGATAGTATCCTTCTCTGTTATGGTGCCTCTGAAAGCGATGACAAATCTTGGAGCATTTGCAACAGAAGCTTCTTCACTTGAAGGAGGATTGAATTCAAATATTGCACCAAATATGGACATATCAGCATCATCAATCAGCTTGCGAATCAGCTCAAAATGGAAGAATTCCCACCAAGCAGGTGCCAAGGCTTCAACAGATTGATGATTCAGTTGACGGTCTCTCTCTAACACATATACAGCCTGAACTAAGCTTGCAGCCACAGATCTCCGATTATGCCCACAGTTCCTTTTGACAATAGATAATGAAAGACAGTTACTTCCCCAAGACAATGAATTGTGAAAACTGTACTAGCAAAAGAATCATATGCCTGTTCCTATACCAACGATCACATAAAACAAACTTCTGACTATCAAGGATTTAACCTAGACTGTTCATAGTGGTCAAAATTGAGAATGCAGAAATATGAGAAAATTGGAATTATGCCATCGTGGGAAGTGGGCTTCGCTGGTTTGCCATCCCGCAATGGGGCTTCGCTAGATTGCCATTATGAAATATGTGCAACCCGCCAAAATGCCATTTGGTGACTTTATGACTCAGAAATAATGAAAAATGAATTTATCTTCCACATTTGCTCCTGTCCTTTCTTTCTTTCTTTCTTTCCTGTGAGCAGAGGGATGGACAGAACACCGCTTGCTCTTCGCCGCCGATGTCCACCGCGTCCTCCATTCCACAGGTTGCCCAGATGCTCGTGCGGCGCGGCCTCCGATGGCCCCGGTCCGTACCCTGGAGCTCGCCGTTGCCGGTTGAGGCGCGCATCGGCGGCGGCATGGCCAGAGTGCCCCGCCGCGGCGTCGGCACACCTGAACCTCAGGTGCGGGGCTTGCCGGGTCAGGCCGGCAACGGTGCTACTCGTGTCGTGGGAGCACATCTGCCTCTGCGGTCACTGCTCCAACTCCAGTCGCGACGGCGTGGCCATCGCGTGCCCGATGTGCCGTGGCGTCATCGGCACATGGCTCGCTGAGGCCGCCCCTCGCCGATGGCCCTCGGTCTCACCGTGCCCGTTCGTGACCGAGTCGATGGGTAGGCCCACGAATAGCCTCGCCGGGGCTAGGTTGTCCACCTCGCGACTCTTGTTGCTGTGCTCGCCGGCGCCGAAGAAGCGGCCTACGAGCCCGACGGCCCTGAGGTCCCTGCTTCAGCCACCATGCCTCGCTGGTGGGAACACGACTCTGCATGGCGAAGGCGAGCGGGCGGTGCTGCCGTGGGGGGCAGGCGGGCGTCGCTGGAGGCTCGCGGCGCTGCCGTGGGGGTGCGCCCGCTCGGAGAAGAAGCGCTCGCTCGATCCGTTTCTCCTCCCTCGGTTCCGTCCGTCTGTGTGCTCTCACATGAACGAAGAAGGAAAGGGCAAGGGGTAAATGCGGAAGAAAACTTCGTTTTTCATTTTTTTTAGATCTAAAGTCACCAAACGGCATTCCGGCGGGTTGCACATGTTTCATAATGGCAATTCAGCGAAGCCCCATTGCGGGATGGAAAATCAACGAAGCCCACTTCCCATGATGGCAGAATTCCCATTTTCTCCATCTAAGCTCGCAATGATTTCTGAACAATGTCAATAAGACAACAAATGAGCTAGGTCACTTCAGTATTATAAAGCATCTCAATTCAGTGTTTTAGCACTACACAATACAAACGCGATATTCTCTCTTATAAACCATCTCTGTTATATAAATAAACTACTATTACTATTTCCTTATATACAAATGATGTTAAAAAATACATTAGCTCCAGACTTAAGTCTATATTGCAGAAGATAATGGCTTATTGTTATGCTTAAACATTCAAAGAGACTCAACCAGATCCATAGCAGTCACACCATAAAGAATTAAAGAGTAGCTAGAGGATCCTGTGGTTAACTAAGCACATAGATTGGGCAAAGCTTGAAACACAAGAAGCTATATTTCACAAATTCCCATTGCTCTTAGAAGTATGGTATGTTCTGTAGTCCATCAATTTCTCAGCACAAGTTGCAGTAAGTATTACTTCCCTGTATTCTGCTAACCAGAAGAACCCAATTCCCAATGATGAATGTTTGTGGTGACAATGTATTCTCATTAGAGAGACTGGATCTCAGTAGACAAGGAGAGGTTCATTGAGTCTTAAACCACTTACAGTTAGACAATAATGCTCATAATGGGAGTGAGGTGGAGTAGGTGGGAATGGTTAGTAAGAGTTAAGGGTCATAATTTTTCCAAGTTCGACATGACAGTGACCAATAATGGAAGACATGAGATTTAGCAGCTAGGTACATGAAAGTGATGCCATGCCATCCCAAGTCCAATGTTGTAAGATAGAAGAAGATTAATTCCAGGTACACAAAATTAGCAATTAAACCTATTTCTAGTGCTTCTCTTTCTTCATTGTTCTCGACTATCTGCCGTTCATTAGAATGACATAACTCTCTAATTCCCAGAAAGACTGGATTGGCTACAGTTAATAATGTTGCAGCTCTGTTGCTAGAGGACATGAGGAACATCTTTTTCAAAACAAGTAAATGTAGAATTTTCTGCAAACCCAACCCTTCCATGACCCGCGAACATCCTGAGAAATGTCATCTAGAATTGTTGAAGGCGAGAGGAGCTATTAAAAACATACCAATCAATTGATTTCAGATACGTCGGTCCTGAAATTCCAAATACATCTCTTTCCACAGCCATGGCGCTACAAAAATATGTTCTTCACTCTTTAGTTGAACAGTTGTGCCGCTGGACAAAAAACATAACACTGCAATAGGCATGGAAAATTTCGGCATATGTAAGATGATATTTGCGGTAACCATACTATAATGATGGACTTAATATAATAGATAGGAGTCCGACTAAATAAATGGAGGTGAACTTAAGTCTGTATCCGGCATTTCTTGGGCAGAGCAGAAATAAAGGTAAAACAAGCAAACGTGGATGGTGTCCGAGCATTTTAGGTTGAAAAGACGATTGGGGCACAGGCGGAGGATTCGAATTTGCTGAAATAACCCGTTGAAATTAGTCGATTGGTACAGCTTCGAACAAAAATACGCAACAAAACTAGATGCACAAGATTATGCCCCGTCCCAGGAACAGAGATTTGGAGAGAGCGAGACGACTGTGCAGCGGGAGGAACAATCCATGGAAGAAAAGCTACGGCAGCCTTACCGACAAATGACGAGATCAGCTCCACGCGCAGTCCCCGCGGGGGCACGCTGCAAGGAAGGAGGAGAGGCGCGGTTGCCAGTTGCCACGGAAACAAGAGAGGATGGCCGCACCCCGATCTAGAAATGGAGGCGCCCGCGCCAGGCGTGTGCGCGGCGGGGAAGACCGGCGGTTGTTCGGTCGGCACAGTTTGGGGAAAACGAAGGGACAGCGGCGTGAGCGGCCATTTTATGGATCTGGCATCTGCCTCGGTGGGTGGCTCTAGGACAGTTGGGGGAAATTGACGTGTGTACCCCAGTGGCCAGGGCACTATTTTTTTTAAGTCCTTGTTTAGATTCTCTCAAAGTTTAAGTTTTTTCACACTCTCTATCACATTAATTTTTAAACACATGTATAGAGCACTAAATGTAGGTAAAAAAAGTAACTAATTGTACAGTTTGGTTGTAAATCACGAGACGAATCTTTTGAGCCTAGTTAATCCATGATCAGATAAAGTTTGTCAAATACAAACGAAACGTGCTATAGTATCCAGATTGTAAAAATTTGCAATCTAAACAAGGCCTAAATGGAAATGGATTCCATTACTCACGTGCTGCACTCTTGGCGAAGTCCTTCGTTTCCTTGAAATTTGGCTCGTGCTGTTTCGAGAGAAAAATATTATTCGTTTAATAAAAAATATTATTGAAGTAGTGTTTCATTTAATAAAAAATATTACTGAAGTAGTGCTGCAGACTAGAGGACAATCGACCGAATACAGCGGGTCCAAGAATGGACCGTCCCCTTCTTCGCACTCACACTTCAAAGCTACTAATACATGGGCAACCTCGTTATACTCCCTAGGAACTGCAGAAAAAAATACAGAGACAAAATTTAATCTAGCAAGTTCTTGGATTATTCTACCCAGCACCGATAAGCCCCAATCCTTCGCTTCCGCAAATTTCACCATCATAGCATTAGTTTCAACAATAATTTTTGTAATACCGATATCTATGGCAGCTTGAATCCCTTGCAGACATGCAATTAGGCCCTATCATTAAATCTTGCGGTACATGCATAGAGCATTAAATGTAGGTAAAAAGAATAACTAATTGTATAGTTTACCGTAATTGGCGAGACGAATCTTTTAAGCATTAAATGTAGGTAAAAAGAATAACTAATTGCATAGTTTGCCATAATTGGCGAGACGAATCTTTTAAGCCTAAATAGTTTATAATTGGACAATTTTTATCAAATACAAACAAAAATACTACAGTGTTCATTTTCTAAACTTGAAGGGATCTAAACAGGCTCTTAGCTCAGCTTGGAAAGGATCTAGGAGATGTGGTAATCTGCCCCTTCCAGCAATGTCAACATCACCGTCACTGTCTCTAATAATATAGCCCCAGCCACCATCACCACTCCAGGGCACTGCTGGTACTACGCTGCACGGCGGAACAAAAAACATGTAGGCCATGTTTGGAACGCAGAATAAAAACATGAGAATAGAAAAAAAACACAGGAATAAGGTGAGTGTGTAGTGATAAAATAGAGGAAAGAAAAAACGCGGAAAATAACTAGAAGGAATGTTTAAAACGCAAGAATCCATAACACTGGAAAAAACGCAGAGAGAGACGTTGAACAGCCGTAGGAAAGTTTCCAATGAGCTCAGACCTCATTTTCTGATTCCTCCAAAAGTACAGGTGTAGCTACCGTTTCTTTGGAAAGTTTACTCTGATTTCCTTTGTTTCCAAACGATGAGAGAGAAGATAATTCCTATGGAATGAGTTTCCTGCACGTTTCCTATGCTTTTGCTTTGATCCAAACGAGGCCATACTTGCTCCGTCACAAAATAAATATTAGCTAGTATTTTTTTTAAATGAATGCACTTCAAATATAGTCCACCTATAGTAGTATTTTTTTTACTCTTTCTACTTTCAAAGTACAATCATGACAGGCTGAGATAGCTTTTGATTGAGATAAATATGTAATTTTCAAGTAACATTGATCTTCTCTAAGAATCATAAAAGTACATTTATTTTGAGACGAAGAGGGTAATCATAAAAAGGAGAAAATCATGTTTATACTAAAAAAAGGTGTATCCAGTTAGAGAGCTCCTGCTCCGTGCGGGGTCTGGGGAAGGATGTCAGTGACAAGCCTTACCCTCGCATGTGCAATGCGAGAAGACCGCGACTCGAACCGGAGACCTTCCGGTCACAGGCGGTAAGATTCTACCGCTTGCACCAGGCCCGCCTTTCATGTTTATACTAAGCACGCAAAAAATACCATTTTTCCCTCATGTTCCCTCACCTCTTCCTTCTTCCTTCCACCTCCACCGGCACCAATGGCGGGCACATCTCTCAGGCTCGCCTCCACGTTGTCCGTGCTCCCCCGCAGGCGCCATGCCCGGCCGTGGCCCCTCTCCGGCAAAGCTAGCAGCAACCCCTGCGGCTGGAGCTCGCTACGGCCTCGGTTATCCGCGCAGCTGTTGGTGCCGCTGTCGTCACACATCGCCAGCACATCGTCTGCCATCTCCGTCTGCAACGCGGGCACCTGCAGGTGTGGCCAAACACCATGGTGCCCCCGTGCACCCTCCCTTGTCACCGTTGATCCCATCCCTGTCCGTATCGACTGCTCTTCCACGTCCGGGTGCTCTGATTTAGAAAAAAAGACCCGAGGATTAGAATAGGGTCAAAGAGAAGGGGCTATGCACAAACTACAGACTCAAGTAAATACTACTACATAGTGCACTAGACCGTGGGTTGATCGGTGAGAAATCCATGGGCCCAAATGCAAAGTCTTTGTCTCTTATGGGTTTCCCTCTTTTTATGCTTTATTTCAGCTGAAACTTGTAAAAATCATTAAGAATCGTAGAAAATTTGTAAAATGTCAAGACAAAATTTTGTTAGTCTTCTAATACACATATGTATACACGAAAAGTATAAAACATGTTTTTACACAATTTGTTTCTATAAAGATTGATCTATGTTATTCTTAAATCTTGATTTTTTTTACAGTAGCCTAACATACTGCAAAAATTTCAAGATTTATGGCTAATAGAAACTCCCTATAAAGATTTATCAAGCAATAACACATATTTAATTGTACAGAAAACACAGAATATTAAACATGTGATTATTCACTTCTAACATGTAGACCTACTAATGTGAAGACTAACAAAACTTGGTTTTCCATTTCATGAATTTTCTATGCTTTTATATGATTTTTGGCAAGTTTCAGCCGGTTAAACAAAAATAAAAATAAAAACATATACACTCCAGGACCGACAAAGATCCACGGAGTCGCTGCTGCTACGGTAGAAAGGGGCGGGGGTAAAATTGACTTTTCGCGTGCTTTTCCGTTCCGTGAGCGGAGCGGCGGGGAAGGCACTCCGCGCTGAAATCTCAGGTGCGTGGACGATATAAATCTCACCCGTGTCCTCTTCCTAGATCCCAATCCACGCCCACGCTGAAGCCTCTGGCCGTCGGAGAAGCAAATCCCTTCCCATCCATGGCGGCGGCGGCGGAGCAGATCCCATCCCCACCCACCTACAGGTTCCGGCCTACGAAGCGCGAGCTGGTCAAGTTCTACCTCCTCCCGGGCGCCCGTGGCCAGGATCCATTTCCCGGTGTCATCTTCGAGGACGACGCGGCGGGGAGCACGTTGCCCTGGGACCTCTTCGAGCGCCACGGCGTGGGGAGCGAGGACGAGGCCTATTTCATCGTGCGCGCCAGCGAAGCCAAGAAACCCGGCGCCCGCCAGGACCGCGGCTGCGACGGCGGCGTCGGGATTTGGAAGATGCAGAGCAGCCTCGAGAAGTGCCTGCGCGTCCGAGGCAAGAGGATCAGGGTCCATGTCAGCAATCTCAACCTGCACATGGGCAAAGGCAAGGACAGCGGCAGCGTCGGGTGGGTGATGCACGAGTACACCATCGCCGCGCCGCCCTGCCCGTCGCCCGTCAAAATCTGCCACGTTGCCTTCAGCGGCCACGGGCGGAAGCGCATGCGCGTGCCGGATGGGCAAGAAGTCTGCCAGAGTAGTGGTCACGCGCGCGTCGGCGCCACCGCGTCAGATCTTCCTTGTTCTGGGGCAATGCTCGATCACTGCTCCTCGGGCGTGGCGTATGCTTCTGGAGACGAAGAATCCTCACACCTCGTTCTGACCGACGACGACACCTTCCGGCAGAGCCCTCTTCTTGATAGCAGCGACTTGCAGTGCTTCCCGTCCGCAGCGTCAGAGCAGTACCCAGAGTTCCCTCTTCTTGATAGCAGCGACTTGCAGTGCTTCCCGTCTGCAGCGTCAGAGCAGTACCCAGAGTTCCCTCTTCTTGATAGCAGCGACTTGCAGTGCTTCCCGTCCGCAGCGTCAGAGCAGTACCCAGAGTTCCCTCTTCTTGATAGCTGCGACTTGCAGTGCTTTCCGTCCGCAGCGTCAGAGCAGTACCGAGAGTTGGAGGCGCAGGTGACCATGCCGGTGGCGCGGCAGCTATCTGCAGGAGAACTGGGGTTCTGGAGCTCGATAGGGGTTGATGTGGAGAGCAATAACAGTTTTGATCAGGAGCAGTCCACAGAGGTCCAGAGCTGGGTGGCGCCCAACACCGACGCCATGGCAACAGGGGTCCAGAGCAGCTATGTGGTGCCCAGCATCGGCGCCATGGCAACAGGGGTCCAGAACAGCTGGGTGGTGCCCAGCAACAGCGCCATGGCAACAGGGGTCCAGAGCAGCTGGGTGGTACCCAACACCGGCGCCATGGCAACAGGAGTCCAGAGCAGTTGGGTGATGCCCAACACTGGCGCCATGGCAGGAGACCTTGATGACTTCTGCAGGTCTTTACTGGCTAAAGTGCCGACCAACTGCGCGGTGCCGGACTTTGGCAACATGGCCACCAGAACGCTGGGCGGTGGCTGCTCATTGATCTGTAAGTAGAAGATTACTTTCTGGTCAAGAACTAACTCAGGAATCATTCGGAGCCAAAGAGCATGGAGCAACAGTTTCTAGTCTCTGGTCAAGAAGCTGTTCGGAGATATGCTGGGGGCTCAGCTTGTAGCGAGGAGAAGCTGTGCCAGGGGACTGCACCACCATTTTTTTTGTAGCTAGGGGACTAGGATGTAAGCAGCTTGCACTCTGCAGTGACTTAGGAAGTTTATTATTCAGTGGTGGAAAGCCACCCACTAATGTAAACATTACTTACTTGTAGCCCTATCCTTCCCAGTGTTTTCCTTTCACAACATTTCAGCATAAGCATCAGCATAAGCCAAATTACAACATGTTGTGAGAGGAAAACACTGTTCCATGGCTAAAAAATAGCTCAAGCGAACAGTGTAATGTTATATTCTTCCCTATAATCTGATTTAAAAAAAAAGTTCTTCCCTTAAATATTCAGTTCATAATTGCCCAGGAGTTTGTTTAATCATGTACAGTACCTATATATGACCTACAAATATATGTAACAGGTGAGATTGCTGTGGAAATAGTGCACGCCTTATCGGCGGCCCAAAATGCTACTCCGACAGACTAATCAGCTGATTTAATCATCACAAAACTGCCGTATAAGCCTATATCTCAATCTGGCAACCTTTAGTTTTTGTCTGTAGACCACCAAAAATAGCCTGATTACTAACTTGTGTGGGACGCCATGCAGCCGTCATACCAGACCTGGCAACGGAGCATGCAGCTCCTATCTGAAGCTGACGCCTTGAGAAAAACGATGCGATAATTTTACTTTTTCTTTGAAATTTTTGGGTTCTTGCACATGCGGATGCTTGCAGGAGTAACCTCCACTAGCTCATTTTCTTGGATAAACTCTATGCAGTCATCCAAACTGTAGCTTAAAGCTTCATCAAGAACCACTGCAAAATATGAAACACACAGAATTCAGCACTTGGATCAAAACCTAAGAGTCAATAGATACAAATATTGGTATAGTATTAAAGCATATCCATGTATATGTTGCTCATTTCAGCACCTGCTGCTTCTCAGGAAGAACAACCTACATTGCCTGCAATACATGACTATATTCCAAGATCTCTACTCTTTCTTGTTCCAAAATTTTAACATTTATTTTGCAGTAGCTCAATTGGAAAGCTTTTCAGAAGAGAACTCACAGACACAGTACACAAATTTCGTCATATATAAGAATTAAAAGGTTGCAGGTCTGGTAGCAGCGAAAAAAGAAAACCATCAAACTGCCAAGTGCTCAGAGAAAATAAATTATTACCTGTAGTTTCCTTGTTGGAACGAACATTTGTAGCAGCCTTTTTCTTGCACACATTAATTGCTAAATCACCAGGTCTTTGATGGATACCAACAATTTGACCTTTGTAAACATCCTGCCCTGGTTGGACAAACAACACACCTCTTTCTTGTGCATTAAGAAGTGCGTAAGAAGTAGTGCTTCCATCTTCAAAAGCAACCTATATCATTTTATTGGAAGTTAGATGCTGGGGAAAATGTAAGAGAAAACCTCACTGCTTTTATTTTGAACTTATTCATACCAAGGATCCCTGATCACGTGAGCTAAGATCCCCAGTCCATGGGCCATAGCTGTCAAAGATTGTGTTCAGTATAGCTCTGCCACGAGAAGCTGTAAGAATTGCATTCCGAAGTCCAATGAGGCCTCTGGTAGGAATCTTGTATTTCAGCAATGTTGTTCCCTCCGGCCTACCATTCAAAATGATACTCATCAAGGCAATGACTCAATAACACAAAGCAGAACGCAAAAGACTGGAGTATAATATGATTAATACAAGCCAAGTCAATAATTAAGCTTATCTTAATCCCCTTTTAATTCAAAACTGACTTTTTTCATAAACTAGAGCAATTCACCTGTTGCACGATTTCTACCCTGTCAGCAGATAAGATAAATGATTCATAATTAAGGACATAGCAGCTCCCAACTAAATTGTGCAAACTGACCATTGTTGAACTCACAGAAAATTGACCAGTCTGTTGGGTTTTGTTAGTTTGGATAGGTTCATATTGAAGTTTCAGTTTTTTCCTCAAATAAAAGTGGTCCAAATATACATGACGCTATGAGTATTTAATTAAGTTTACTCTTAGTCCCATACTGTATTCACTTAGATTGGTGCATGGATTATGAAACTTACTTTTACACCCTTACTTAGTACTAGTAGTTATAAAAATATTGTGTTGAAAATAAATACTGTATGTCACTCAAGGATGGAAATGCTGGACTGAAGCACTGGACTCTTAAGGTTGTTCTAAGAAACCAGTTGAAGCGTGATAAGTCGGAAGAATATTGGCACTAGTCTTATAGCCATTCCTATATCAAAATAGTATACAGATTGTAAACAAGCATTTCACCGATTTGATGAGATAATGAAAGTATAGCACAAACCCGTCAGCTTCCATGTCAACCATTTGTCCACGCCTTTTCCCCAAAAGCTCAACAACTGATCCCATGGACTCCTCTGGAACCTCAACAGCAGCTATCTGTAGCATAACAACACATATTAATTAAATGGGAAGTTGGGAACTAAGGACAAAGGAGTTCCAGGAATAATGAAGTAATAAAAGAAGAGGTTTGTTGCTAATAAATCAGTAAATAAATGTATTCCAACTCTCTATATACAATAAAGTATAGACTTACCTCATAAGGCTCTAGTAGTTTTCCATCCACTGTCTTGTTTATGACCTTTGGAGGTCCAATCATAAATTCATATCCTTCTCTCCGCCTGCAAAGTTCACATTGTTCTTAAGACAACCAAAAGTCACTGAATTAATGAAACTACCAAATTTAAGTTCTTACATATTCTCTATCAATATTGTGAGATGCAGTGTGCCTCTGCCACTAACAAGAAATGTATCAGCAGTTTCCCCGTCTTCTACTTTCATAGCCAAATTCCTTTCGAGCTCGCGATACAACCTGTCACGGAGATTTCGGCTAGTAACGTATTTCCCCTATAATAAAGAGAATGAGAAGAAGTAAATTTGTCAGTATTCTAGAGAGAGAATAAACCAAACTATTGCATTATATTTAACATGGTATAGTATTTCACAAGAGATGTAAGGACACTATCATGGAGGGCAATCATTTACACAATTCATTAAGATATAGAAGAAATTTAGCTTAACAATACCGACTTTCGATTATTAGTTTCCTTATTGTAGTTAACAAAAATTATTGAAGCATAACAATGCCAAAGTACTTTTATGGCAAGTGTACAAAATACCATTTTAACGTGAAAACTGAGAAAACCTTTTATCTATAATTATGGCTTCTAGAAGGTTGACTGCACGAATTTAGAACAACGAATACAGAATACAAGAGATCATATGGAGTAATCAGGGTATATTTTATGGATTTCCCAAATCTTTAACACAGAAGAGCATGTTAGGAAGTAGATATAACATATTTTTTGTTAGCATGGAGGATAGACATACCTCCCGTCCAACAAAAGGTGATGTATTGATGGAGAAAGACATTCTGACTGTTGGCTCCTCCACTTTGATAGTGGGCAATGGTGTTCCTGTAACTTTATCAGCTATAGTTTCCCCAATCTGGATAGTCCAAAGCATATAGAATCATGTTATAAGTATAAATATGAACTGGTTGAATAATGAATATGAATGCACAGACACCTACCATGATATCATCCATTCCACATACAGCACAAATGTCACCAGCACTAACAGATTCAACGGAGACGCGGCTGAAGTTCTGATAAACAAAAAGCTCACTTACTTTACTAACCCTGCAAGCATCGTCTGGTGTACAAACCTGAAAAATATCTTAATCAATAGAAACTCTACTGCAATAATATGATAACAGGTGAAGAAAATTTTCTAATTTTATTCAAAAGAAGACTTAATAGACTTTGGAACCAATAGATGAAATAAAAACTTGACCAACAAGGAGGAACCATGTGGCATTGTATATAAGAAGAAATATGTAACCGAATTTGAGTCGAAGAGGATCCAAACCTGGGTGGTGCAGGGTTAAGCCACACCTTCCACGGATTGAGCTAGACTCAGATCCTTCAATAGATGAAATACATATAACGAGAAACTGAATCTGAAGACCCAATATATCACAATACTTTCATTTATAAAACACAAAAATAAAAAAAAAACTTAACCCCAAGGGAAGACTGCCCCAACGGCATTGTTTGAGAGCTAGAAACCATAATCACTTTGGGCCAGCAAGGGGCCCCGAAGGCTGCATACAGCGAGGGCCATTTTTTAGTGCGGCATCCGGGCACAAACTCGACCGAGGAGCACCACTATTGGGCACATGTAACCACTGCCCACCACACATATTTGCTCACCCACATGCAAGTCTGGGAGCCAAACTCACAACCGGTTCGTTGCACAACAGTGAGCCACCAAGCTATCAGTTCGTTCACATAAAACACAATAATTTCTGACTACATCATAACATTTGCTCACATGCATGTTGGGATCACAAGGATAAAATTCGAAATAGAATGCACCAAATGAGCTTCTAAAATGTAAGATAAAGAGATGTGGAGGCTGCTCAGGCCTCAATTAATCCCAGCAGTTCCTTTTATCTTATATATGATTTGCTTTACTCACAGACTTCCACAAGAAATTTGAGATGAATCATAAGGCGCCGATCTCAAATAGAGAAGGCAAAACTCAGGTACTCATAAAAAATGCTATACATTTTATTATATTGCAAATGAAATTTACCAGCATTGTGGCATCGACTCAGTAATACTTTATCCAACATATATGTAGTAAAGAACCATATAACACCTCACTGTAAATGGATATTTTCACTCAGCAGAAATTTCAATCTCTCCTTTGGTTGAGCCTGTCTGTGATACTACCACGTTTTATATAACTTTCTAACTGGAATGTTCATGTTCACATTATTATGCCAAAACATGCACAAGCAGAGCAGATTTATACCTTGACCTCCATGCCACGCTGAAGTTCTCCTG